TTAGTTCCTATCTGATGTAAAGACTAACAACTAGGCTAAGCCATGAAATGCAAGGGACCTAGTTGCAAAAACTTAAATATTTAGAATACAAAAGAAGTTCATGACTCTGGTTTTGGTAATTTTTTGTTAGTTTCATGTATTGTTGTACATATGTTGCTAATCTACTTGTGTTAAGTTACAATAATTTCTGATATCTCCCGTAGTTTCTAATCTTTTAGTGGATTCTGATGACAGGGTGCTTCAATACCTCAATGTATACATGGAACAAACCTCTTGATACCCTTAACAGGAGCAGTTAGTCCAGAGGATATGGCTATAACAGGAGCTGGTTCCCGTCTTCATGCTCAAGATACATCTACCCTTCCATTATTGTATGATTTTGAAGAACTGGAAGGAGAACTTGACTTCCTTACTCGTGTAGTTGCCCTTACATTTTATCCTGCTGTCTCTGGAAAGAGCCCTATCACTCTTGGTGAGGTAGAAAGCAACTTGTGTAATTATTAATTTATATGTCATTGTCCTTGATTTGTGACTTTTCAGTTGGTTATTTAGGTTCTGATTTGAAACTCTAGCTTGGTTGAAGCTAATGCCATTTGAATTTTTTGGCACATGATATTGAGAGGATGGGTGTTGCAGAACCCCCAAGTGGATGATAATTCTTTTGTGAATTTGTTTGCAGATAGAAGTCCTTGGAGTTTCTCTTCCTTGGAGGGGTGTATTTACTAACGAAGGCCCTGGTGCAAGACTACCTGAACATGCTAAAAACCTTCAGAATGAAAACATTCATTTTTCCTCTGGGTCAAAAACCAATCCATTTTCTGGTGCTTCATTTACTGAAAATGTGCTGCCACCAGTGCAACCAAGTGCGTCTGCAAACAATTTAGTTGACCTATTGACTGGAGAGATGGTGCTTTCAGAACACATTGCTGCGCCAGTGATAGGAAATGTTGAGGACAAGGGAGGTGACCTTCTTGATTTCTTGGACCAAGCTATTGTTGAATATCATGATGCTGAAACTGATCATAAATCACATGATGGAAAACCTTCAGATAGCAGTTCCCAGCAGTACATTGATTGTTTGAAATCTGTTGCTGGGCCACATATGGTATGTTACTAACTCTTCTATTGTTTCTTTGAACCACTATGCTATTATGTGGTTTATCCTTACAAAGAGGAAGTCCTTTAAAATCTTTCGTTGAACCACAATTGATGAATCCTATTGTCTGCAGAAAAAGAAACTAAACTTCATGGAAGCCATGAAACTTGAAATTGAACGCCTCAGGCTGAACATTTCTGCTGCTGAAAGGGATAGAGCTTTGTTATCTATAGGAACTGATCCTGCTACTATAAACCCTAATGTTTTACTTGATGAACGATACATGGGAAGATTGTGCAGAGTTGCAAACTCCCTGGCACTGCTTGGACAAGCATCCTTGGAAGACAAAATTACATCTGCTGTTGGTCTTGAGACTACTGATGATAATGAGATAGATTTTTGGAATATAACTAGATTTGGTGACTGCTGTTATGGTGGCACGTGTGAGGTTCGTGCTGAAACTAATGCACCTACACGTCCTTCCTTTTTGGAATCAGGCGAAGTTTCCCCGTCTCTCTTGTTATGTTCCCAATGTGAAAGGAAAGTTTGTAAAGTTTGCTGTGCTGGTAGAGGGGCCCTTCTGGTTGCAGGCTATGGGTCAAGGGACGCCATGAGTTACAATGGTGTGGTAAATCAGGGGGGATCAGGCCATGGTTTCCAGGTTGACGTCTCTACAAATCGTACAGTAGTGCTGGATAGTGTTATTTGTAAAAGATGCTGCCATGATATTGTGCTTGATGCATTGATCTTGGACTACGTCAGGGTCTTGATAAGCATGAGGAGAAGTACACGTGCTGATTCTGCTGCCCATGAGGCCTTGAACCAGGTGATTGGATATTCAGTAAGGAATTGTCTTTATGAAAGGAAACAGTCTCCGGATAGAAAGAGAACTATTAAAGTTCTGCAGAAATTACTTGGCAGAGAGGAATCGCTAGCCGAGTTTCCATTTGCCAGCTTTTTACACTCGGTAATTTTTTGGCTTATATTACTTTCTTGTTTCAGGGTTCCCGCAGTAGATTATTGTCTTATTTCCATCTCTATCTTCGTATGGGTTGCGGTATTATACATGTTTATTGTGACCATTGTAGGTTGAAACGGGAGCAGATTCAGCACCATTCTTGTCATTGCTTGCTCCTCTTGAATCTGGATCACGCCATTCATACTGGAAAGCTCCTCCTAGTACCACCAGTGTTGAGTTCATTATTGTTCTTGGCACCCTTTCTGATGTTAGTGGGGTTGTTTTGCTTATTAGTCCATGTGGTTATTCTGAGGCTGATGCACCCACCGTAAGTCGGCCTCTATACATACTCTCTTTTATTTTTATTTTATTTGGTAAATTTGAAGTCGTCGAAAATCTTGCTTTGTAGTATATCTAGCTTTTTGTTCCTAAATTGTTGAATTTTACACCTTTTGTGCTGCACAAACATTGATTCCTTCTGTACATTTTATTTTGACTAATTCACCTGCTCGCACAGGTGCAAATCTGGGCCAGCAATAAAATACACAAGGAAGAAAGGTCATGCATGGGAAAATGGGATTTGCAGTCCCAGATCACGGCTTCCTCAGAATATTATGGACATGAAAATTCGGTTAGAGAAAATGAAGTACCGAGGCATGTGAAGTTTGAATTTAGGAATCCAGTTCGATGCCGCATTATTTGGATAACATTACGCCTTCAGCGACCTGGTTCAAAATCTCTTAATTTGGACAACTTGAATCTATTGTCTCTCGATGAAAATCCATTTGCAGAAGTAACTCGGCGTTCTTCTTTTGGAGGAGAAGTTGAAAGAGACCCCTGTATTCATGCCAAAAGGATACTGGTAGTCGGAAGCCCGGTGAAAAAAGAGATGGAAGATACATCACAAAGCTACGATCAGATGAATCTGAAAGGCTGGCTGGAGAGAGGTCCACCACTGAATAGATTTAGGGTAAAAAAATTCACGCTTCTATGCTTTATTCATTTAAAAAAATAATAATTTTTTATTCGTTATTGAATTTTTATCACGTGCAGATTCGTTTATAGTCATATATTGTTCTTTCAGGTTCCCATTGAGGCCGAGAGGCTGTTGGACAATGATATTGTTTTGGAGCAATATCTTTCTCCTGCATCACCTTTGCTTGCTGGATTTCGTCTTGATGCTTTTGGTGCAATAAAGCCTCTGGTTACCCATTCACCCTCTTCAAATACACTGGTCTGGGATACGTCAGCCACACTAGTAGACGAGAGACACATCTCTCCAGCCGTTCTGTATATACAAGTATCTGTTGTCCAGGTACTTACTAGACCTGCTTTATTATTATGGGGTTGGTTAGCGACAGTAGTTCGATGTGGCTTAATTAGTGCGGTGTGAAAATCCATATTGATTACGGTGTTTTTAAGATAACTTATTGGAGACATTATTACAGGAACCCCAAAGCACGGTAACGATTGCAGAATATCGTTTGCCAGAGGCCAAGTCTGGAACAGCCATGTACTTTGATTTCCCTCGAGAGATACAAACCCGCACAATTATATTTAAACTTCTTGGAGATATTACAGCATTTGCCGATGACCCAACAGAGCAGGATGATGCCGGTTCCAGAGTGGTACCTGTGGCTGCGGGGTTGTCGTTGGCCAATAAAATTAAGTTGTATTACTACGCCGATCCATACGAACTTGGAAAATGGGCAAGCCTCTCGGCCGTTTGAAGTAGCGTTATACACAGCGAAGCACGAGGGGTTTTGTGCCTTGGGGATTGGTTTTTGATCGATTTTGTGGTTGTGTATTCCCCCATTCATATTTGTTGTAATCATTCGTTGATGGAAAATTGTCCCTGTAGTTTTTTTCGTTTTGGTTGAGACTATATATATCAATAGAGCTAGGAAATCAGAAACACGTCTGTCTTTATTGTGCGAGAATCTGATGAGATCTGTTTGTTCAAGACCTTAGTCTGTATTTGGAGCCAAAGAACTTTTTAAACTTAATTGTTTGGTGTCTTTGGAATTGAAAATCAATTAATGGAGTTCATGAAAAAGAGGTGTCACAAATTAATGTGCTCGAATTAATGTGCTCATTCCATCGCAACTTTGTAAAAAATCATGTTATATGCTAATTTTTGGCACATATATGGGTCTCAAAAAATTTTTGGGGTTTTATTATTACAAATGGTTTATGAAATTGGCCCATACCAGTAAGATGATGGTCCCGGAAATTGAAAATCAATTAATGTAATCTTTGAAAATAGGTGTCACAATTCAGTATGATCATTTTACCACAATTGACCCACGCCACAACAACACACAATAGAATTTTCGACTAAATGGAAGAACCACATTGATCTGTGACACTTATTTTCAGGGACTACATTGATTGATTTTCAATTTCAGAAATCATCTTAATTATATGAGTCAATTTCAAGGACCATTTGTGATCAGTTGAGCCACCCAATTGCTTGATGGAATTTAGTTTTTCTTTTCTTTATTTTTGCAATTGAAATCAAAGTTTAATTTGATGCTTAAGTATATACATGCCCCTACCCATTTACATTTTGAGTTGTCTTATTAATCTACACTTTAAAGGCACCATAGTCTCAACTCAGCACATAAAAAAACCTTTTTTTTTCTTTTTCTAAAGCTTCCAAGTGAACAATCCTCATTTAATGAATTTTTTAAATACAAGTACACCCGTATATGTTTCAAAACAACAACTTTTGCCCTTTCATTTATTATATTACAATAACACCGTATCCGTTTTAATCATTTAACATAGACACAACAGTTTTAGATAGAAGTTTATCCAACGCTCAAACATTTTTTTCTTTTGTTAAAAGCACGTTTACAACAAAAGTTTATCAAACACTTAACAACTTTATCTTATAGCAATTTATCCTCACACCACAACAAAAGTAGTTTTTTTTTTTTTTTAAATCAAAGGAATACTAAACTGCCCTATATCTTCTAGCCAGAAACCGAAGCCCCATATATCCTTGATTTATTGTATCACAGAGGATTTATGGATGCATAAAATTACGTGGTTGGTTTCACTTGATTAACTCACACAGAGATCGACGGTGCTGATTGGATGCATTAGTGATGATCAAACTGTAATGCCACAGTGGTCTTTGACAGTGTAACTAATTCCTCCATTTATTGCGTTGTTCATAACGGCGGCAAAATATTCAGATTGATCAATCGGTTTGTAGCGGACGGGATGCTCCTCGTCAATCAACTCTTGCGGCGTCTGGAACTTGCCACTCTTGAACAGAAACAGAGCCAAAACGAACCTTTGCGTGTCTTTGCTTATTGTCACTCTGTGTTTGCAAGCTTGTATTTTATCATTGCTCCAAACCTACCAAAAAATATTTGTCATGTTATATACAAAAAAAAATATTTGAATATGCGGAACTTTCCATGAATTCTCTGTCACCTGACAGTTTAACCAAATTCTCAACCCAACATTATAAAACATTAAAAAAAATTACGAGGTGACAAAGAGTTCATGAAAACTCTGACTTTTGAGATAATCTCCTTAGCATTTCTCATGTTGCAGAAAAATTTATTAATTATATTGCGTATTTTTGTCTATTTATAGAGCTTGAGTGAATTAATTATTGTATATTGCCGTATACAATAGTAGCACCTGCAAAATATCGCCTGCGATGAAAGTGAAGGACGATGGCGGTGGTTGACAGAGCACCCAGTCCCCGTTCTTGTTCTGCACCTCCAAGCCATGGCTGTCGTTCACCTGATGCAGCACCGTGGTGAAGTTCTTGTCGGTGTGAATAAAAACACCCACGTCGGTTTCAATTTCCTCCGATCGCTCGTACTTGAGGAACGACATGTGGTGAGTGTTGGTGTTAATATGTGTATCATGGTAGTTGTCAACACCATAGCTTTCGAATATCATCCTCGTCACTATCCAGTCTAAGTTCATCATTTGCGTTGCATACTCGTTCGAACTTCGACTAGTTAACCAACAAACAAGTTAATATCTATATGCATGCATATCAGCAACTGTAAGTTTATTGATCTTATAAAAAACTGTAAGATCGAAGTATCAACAATATCAATAAACATCGACAACATAGATAACTTATCTGCAGTTTAAAGTATTTCATTAAAAATTTAGTTAGAGAATTACGTGAAATTTTCATTTCCGTTGGGCCAGAAGAGATTGCTGAACTTCTGGCACTCAGCAGCATCTGCGGCGTCGTCCATTGCCAGGCTTTCGTGGATCTGAGTGGTGTTGTGATATGCACCCAAGGTCTTCTTGTTCTTGCTCTTGACCTTCATCTTGGCTTCACGGGGGAAATCCATCAACTCTTTGAAAGCCTCCAACATGGTGCTGCGAAGCTCTTGGCGGACCTTGTTGCCAACTAATGCAATGAAGCAGCCCGTTCCTTCGAGTGCACGGATAACATCTTCACGTATCCCTAGCCAAGAACTCGACCCCGGCTTCAACGCCTCCTCCTTGGAGAAATCGATCACCGGAATCCCGTTCTCCGATTGCTTACACATGGTGTGATTAGCTACTTAATTATGTGTATTTTTTTCTTTTCACACAAAGCGAGCTACTGTGAGATGCATTTCATGGTGTTGCCGTTTATAAAGATCAGCGGCAGCCTGGTCATCACCTACCTAATATCCGCAAAAGATTATTAAGCGTGTCAAGTGGTATTATACTATCAGTCTACAACAATTCATTTACAGGGCACACTCGTTGACCATAAGTTGCACAAAATAATATTTGTGTTGCGGACCTGCAGTCCTGATCACTTTGCTGCTATTCGTAGTTTTTAAAATACAATAATGCATTCGAAGGGTAGACTCGTGGATCATAAGTTGCACCAACAAAATAATATTTGTGTTGCAGACTTGCAGTCCTGATTACCTGCGCTGATGTTCGTAGTTTTTAAAATACAACAATGCATTTGCTTGCAGGGACACTCATGAATCATAAGTTGCACAAAATAATATCAACAAATATTTCTTTGATATTATTCAAAACTCATGAGGTCTTTGAGCATTATTGGGTTGGGATTCGTGATCACTTTGCTGATGTTCGAAGTTTTTAAAATTCCAACAATGCATTCGCTGGCACACTTGTGCTGACTTCCGTGGTTTTAAAAATTCCAATAATGCATTTACAGGGCACGCTCGTGAATCATAAGTTGCAACAATTTGACTGACTATCCCACAAAATTGTTGGAGCAATATTAGAAAATATGGGAAAAACAATATAATTCTAATGATAATAATAATAAAGAAATTCACAACATTAATTATATATGAGATTAATATAAACAACTAGAGATAAAGTTAGAAAAATTGACAAACTTGGAGATTCAGGCTTGCATAAATGCAATGTCCCAAAGACCGAATTTCGCCCCTACTCTTGTGCTTGTAGTTCGGTAGGCATCCATCTCCTAGGATTCAACAATCTATAATCCGAAGTCAAAACATTTCAATCTTCGAACTCTGGCGAACTTTATATATTTTGTACCCTCAAAACACAACTCGGAAGATAAACGAAAAATGAGAGAAATAGTGTGGATAAACCCTATTTCTGAAGAGTATTTAACTATGTTATTTTCTACTTATGAAGACTAATAAAAAAAAAACTTATCCTGCGAACGAAGTGCCTGAGTTTATATACAACTCATGGCACCCTTTGATAAATTATATGTGTCGAGTGGTTATAAACCATCTGACACCTTTAAGTTAGGGAATGCACCTACCCCTTTTTAATTGAAGAGGTATTTGCACAAACTGAAAGCCACTGGATAACACCAATTAAATTCAAAGTAAATAACCCTTCTGAAAAAACGGTTAACATTATTTTTCATTCAATTATTAAAATTATATATTACAACATTTTATATTATAATATATAATTTCTAACAAAGATAATATTTGTGGGGTAATGTTAAGAAAACTAAATTTGAAGACAAATTTACAAATTAAATGATGTGTCACTAATAAGAATGAATATGTTTATCATCGATTAAGTAATAAATCAATCATCAACTTCCATATTCTTTAGTTTTTAAACTTTAGTCTACAAATTTAATCTTTTTAGTATTACCCATATTTGTGTTGCAGTCCTAAACTAAAATTGTATAAACTATGTAGAAAGTTTTAAATATACATACAATAGGCAATAGTAGCTATTTACAAACCAAGTCTTCAATCTTTATGTTACAGTGAAGTCCCAACGTATTCAAAATCCTGAATAAAAAGCACGACAATCCTGCTTAAATATAACTTAGAAATATGAGGAAATTAGCAAGTTAGCTATTAGCAGGCATACCCAAAGCCCAACTGTGGCTTCAACTCAGCCCATATATTATTTGAATTTGGGCCACGAACTAGCCCCATCCAACCCACAGGGCTCAACTCAAACGTGTAAACGACTAAAATGCCCTCCACATTGTCTGTTTACAAAAACCCTAGCCCTAGCCGAGCCTTGTCTCTCACTTGCTCTCCCTTCGTTCGGCCGCTCATCCTCGACAATGGTGAGCTTCCTCTATCTCTCTCTCCGTTTCGTGCATCTGAACTAATTTCTGCGCATTTACTTATTTAATCTCGTCATTAAAATATAGTAATCATTCATTCGAGTGAGTGATTGGTGTTTTCTTATTTTCTCTGGACTTGTGTTCTTTGATTTTGTATGAATTTTTTCTTCATTTTACACAAATTAATATACGTTTATGTGTCAATTTATGTCTAAATTTTCGGATTAAATCGATATATAAATTCATTTATTTGATAAATAGATGCGTATGCATTGTCGAATCGGCAAAACCGAGTGCAGTTGGTTGATGTTGTTCATGCATTGTCCAGTCATTTGCTTAAAGACTAATATTTATGGTATCCTTTGTGTTTCTGCTCCATTACCTGTTATATTTACACACGCGCGCACACACACACACACACACATATATATATATATATATATACACACACATGTGAAGTTTTGAGGAAACATTGAACATTTTGTTGAATTATTTGTTATAGCCGTTCGTCAAGTCTCAGAAGTCTAGGGCTTACTTCAAGAGGTTTCAAGTCAAGTATAAGAGAAGGAGAGGTATTTATTTGTTTCATGATAAATTGTTTTTCCATTGCGCAAATTGTTAGTGTGCATATGATCATTTTATTTCTGAATGTTGTCCACAGAGGGGAAGACCGACTACCGTGCCAGGATTAGGCTCATTAACCAAGACAAGAACAAGTACAACACACCCAAGTATCGGTTCGTTGTGCGATTTGTATCCTAAAATATGTCGGCTAGCATTTGGGCCTTCCTAGTTTTACACTTTATATTTATGTTTTTGATAAAAAAAAATTATGTTTTAAGTTTTTTTAATGTTTCTTTCGTCTGTGGGTATTGAGTTGGAATTTAAGATGGATTTTTTTAATGTTTCTGTCTTCATGATTTTTCTTGCATTATATGTGATGTTCCTCTTAACCTGGTTTTTAGACCAACAAGGATATTGTTGCCCAGATTGTATCTGCCAGCATTGCTGGCGATTTGGTTCTCGCTGCAGCCTATGCCCATGAGCTGCCACACTATGGACTTGAAGTTGGTCTGACAAACTATGCAGCAGGTATTTCCACCGTTTGATTTATTTGCTTTCTTCATTCTGGCTCTATACATATAAGTTCCTCTTGTGGGTTAGTAACAGTATTTTTATGATCAGCCTACTGCACTGGCCTACTCTTGGCTCGTCGTGTGCTGAAGAAGCTTGAAATGGATGACGAATATGAGGGAAATGTTGAGGTAGTGTGTTATTTTTTGTCTATCCAGTTTGTTCCCTTTATATCTACTTTTTGTGTGTGGCCTTACTAAATAATTTATCTGGTATTTTAGGCAACTGGTGAGGATTATTCTGTAGAGCCAGCTGAGAGCAGGAGGCCATTCCGTGCTCTTCTTGATGTTGGCCTGATCAGGACCACCACAGGAAATCGTGTATTCGGTGCCTTGAAGGTGGGTACCACATTTAATGCTTATTTATATTTGATGTGGCCAAGTTTTTTTTTTTTTTTTTTGTGACTTATCAGGATGAATATGTTATTTTGTAGTGTTCTTTCTTTTCACTTTGATGTGAACTTTCTTATACCGATGACAGTTTCTAATTAACGGTTTTGTTATTTTCAGTATAACTTTCCTTTCTGTTATGATTGTCTGTCTGTATAGTATTTTTTGTTTTTGTTTTTATCCTTGGAAGCCTTGATTAAAACATTTCTTTGCATGCCTGGGGATGAAATATATATTGGTTCCTGGTTGTACTTTATTTTTCATATTGCTTCCCATGCTATACAGAACATGGTCTTTTGTTTAATGTAACTGAATTTTTAATCCACTTGGAATGTGGCGTAATCAATTTAAATAATTTTCAATTGATTACAGGGTGCTTTGGATGGGGGTTTGGATATCCCTCACAGTGAAAAGAGGTTTGCCGGTTTCTCCAAGGATAGCAAGCAACTTGACGCTGAGGTTCATCGCAAGTACATCTATGGTGGCCATGTTGCTGCATACATGACAGTAAGTTGAATATTCATTTCATGCACCAGCATTAACCTGACTGGTCTAGAATAATGATGTCATTTGGTCAAAATTTCTATATATTTGTTTCTGAACTTGTGTGGGCGTTGAGTTCAGAATTCTTGTCAGGCATTCTCATTTTGCTTCACCATCACTGAATATTTAAAACTGTTTAACTTGTGATTGTTTGATTTTAGACTTTGGCGGATGATGAGCCAGAGAAATTCCAGAGTCACTTCAGTGAATATATTAAGAAAGGTATTGAAGCGGATAACATCGAGGAGCTGTACAAGAAAGTTCATGCTGCCATCCGTGCTGATCCTACAATTAAGAAGACTGAGAAGCCGGCCCCTCAAGAGCACAAGAGGTAAAGTTTGATTGAGTGCTCTACTCAGCTGATGTTTTAAATTGTGTCCTAGTTTCATGCACTTAAATTTGTTAATCACATTGGAGGAGGGAAGTATCTGTAGAGTCTCTTGCTCAGTAGGAAGTAGTCATCAAATGATTTGAATTTTCATTTGTGTAACAGGTACAACCTCAAGAAGCTTACCTTTGACGAGAGGAAGAAGAAGTTGGTTGAGAGGTTGAAGGCCTTCAATGAAGCTGGTAACGATGAAAACAGTGACGATGATGATGAGTACTAAGCATTTAATGGTATTTGTGCTCTAGTTTGTTTCCCCCGCGTAGGACATCTGTTTAATTATTCTCGATATAATCTTCTATCTTTATAATTCAGACATTTGAAGAATATGTTTCTTGTTTCGAGGTTCGAGTTAGAAGCGCTACTAAAGTTTTGACAATGTTATGAAAGTTATATTTTGTTTTGGCTATCCAACTTTTCTAGTTACCAAACCTTGTATTGCCTTTTTTTTTTTTTTTTTTGGTAGCGTGGTAGTGGGGATATAAAGCTTAAGTGTATTTTCTTTTAAAACCATGAATTTTATGCTTATGTGGTTTTATTTTCTCTTGCCTTCATTTCTTAATTAGTGAGCTATCCTCAACTTGTTCCCGAACAATTAGGTCCTGTTTGATAGTCCTAATTGACATGGAAAAATGGTCATGTAG